CTCTCGGCCAGGCCCGGGAGCCCGAGGCCACGGTGGCCGCGCAGCGCCCGGACTCCCCCGCTGCACGGAAACTTTGCTCTGGCCCCCCGCCCCCCGCCGCGTTCCGGGCGGTGCTGCTGCTGCTGCCCGCCCGCGGGCGGCTCCGGAGCTCCGGCCGGCCTGGCTCGCGCGGATCCCCGGGCTCTGAGTCCCCAGCCCCGGGCTCCATCCTCCGGCCCCTCGCGCGCACACCGCAGACACTTACGGGTGATGAGCTCCCTCTGGGACAAGTGCTGCGGGTTGCCCTGTTTGCGGCGGGACATTGCCCCGGCATCTATTCTGGCATCGCCCGGAGAGCTGCACTGATGGGGGCCGGGGAGGGGGTCCGAGCCGCCGCGCCGCCGCCGCGCCTCCTCCTCTGCCCGGGTTGGTGCGTTCTCCCCTTCCTCTCTTGCCCTCTCTTCCTCCTCCTCCTCTTCTTCTTCGTCTTTATTTTGCTCTTTCTTCTATGCTGTTTTTTGTTTTGTTTTTGTTTTTGTTTTGTTGCAAAAAAGGAAAAAAAAGATCGCTCGATCCAAAATAGAGAGAGGCAAAAATAAATAAAACTGCTGTTGCTTCCCGCGGACTGGCTGGTTTCTTTAAAAATATATTCTTTTGAAGGAAAAATATCTCTTACACGTCTTCAAAGTGCTTAGCCTCTTAGACTTCTAAATGTCTTCTTAACTTACGCCTGGTTTGCACCGGCCTCTGACACTTTTCTTTCGGGGTCTGGTAGGTGGAACCGTACTTCCACCGAGGGGAAAGGGGAGGGGGGAGGAAAAATGCAAACAAATTTTTTAAAAGAAGCGAAAAAAAAAAAAAAGCAAAGAAAACTTGGGGACTTGTCTCTTACCCCTTCACCCCGCCCCCTCAAAAACCCCAAAGCCAGGAAAAACTGCCGCGGGTCGGTTCTTTCTGGGCTTTCTGCGCGCTGCCTGGGTTTGTTTCTTTCTCGGAGGCTTGACCCCTCCGAGGCTCTGGGGGGGACTCCAGGAGCGGCTCCTTCCCGGGTCACCTGGCAGGCTGGCGCCGGCCGGAGGAGCTGCCGGGTCCCCGCGTGCGCTCCCCAGCGCTCCCCCGGCGCCGCGGGCCCAAGGGGAGCGGGGCTGCGGGGCGGCTCGCCCAGTGCGCCTGGGTCGGTGCGGGCGTGGACTGGGAGCTATAGATTGCAACGTGAAGATGGCGGAGTCCGGGTTCTCTGGGAGCTCTCGGTCTCTCTATGGCTGGGGCTGCCTCTGTACAATGGGATAAAATTCAAGTTCAAGTGCGGACGTGACGTTTAATCTGCACTAGAGACAAAAAGACCCAGAGAGTCGGAGCACTGGGGGCGACTAGCGGTGGCTTTTTAACATTGTACCCTGTAAAAGAACAAGAAAGCACACACCGAGACACGCGCGCGCGCACTCACACACACACTCGCCAGTGCGCACACCCGCAACCCAGGCCGGCCACACGTGCAAACTGCTGTTTTTGTGCTCTTCTCTTATACACTGCACTGGCTGCGCAAGGCAGGAGGGTGGGGGGAGTGTGTTTTTAAATAAGAGAAAATCCTTATCCCTCCTTACCCCCCTCCCCCGGGTGCAGGACCCCTGAGTAAGGGGGCGGGGTGCTGTGTAGGAGAGCGAAGTACATCGAATCCATGCAAGTCCAGACCGACCCACCCTAAAACTCAAACTCTAGAGGGGGCTTGGAAGGGGGGGTCGACCCGAAGACTGGGATAGGGGGAGCTGGTCAGCGACTTCACTTCTCTGAAGAAGTTTCAGTTGCTTTTACTTTTATTGGGGGGGGGGGTCTGGGAGAAACTTACAAAGTGTCCCTGTATAAACCCTGGGGGTTTTGTCCACAGGAAGGACAAAATAAAAAGTACTCGGAGGACACGCTGGGGACCCATTTTGTTAGCATCCCATTCCAAAGGGGATCTTCGCCTTCCCGCCCCCCCCCCGCCCCATTAACTCGGGGGGATGGGGGAGTCAAACATGGCCCCGCCCCCACACGCCAATCTCAGCTGGAGAGGGACAGGGGTGCTCCAAGTACGGGAAGGACTCGGACGCACTGACCCAGGAGTGGGGGCGTGGCGAGCTCTGCTTGAGAGTGTCGGTGATAAGCCCCCCCCCCCCGCGCCTGACAATCCCCGCAGCAACCTGGAAGCCTCCCCCCTCCTCCACCGACCCGGATAGGACTTGAAATTGCCTGTCAGACAGGGAAGGACAGAGCTGCCTTGTCAGCCGTTTGATCTCCAGCCGGGGAGGACGAGGGGAGTTGTGGGAGCCTGCCCCTGGCCTGGGGACAAGGCCAGGCTGCGGTCCCCGTGCACACCGCCCCCTCCCGGCGCTCTTCCCCAGGCCAGCTCTGTCTCCAGGATCACTGGGCCTCCTGGGCTGAACTCCAGGCAGCTGGACCCCACTGACTTCCCCCGGGGCATCCAGGGCGGGTCGGGGCCTGGCTGGGGCTGGGCTTCTCCTCGAACCGGTCGGCACCCGCCCAAGCCCTGCGCACCTCGGCTCAAGACCAGGGAGTAGGTAGGCTGCGAAGGCTCCAGGCGCGCCACCTCTCCTGGGCATCGTTCCTCTGGGGGCACCTGGGCTTTTTGTTCATCCTTTAGGCCGTGGGTGGGGCCATGGCAGCAACCGCCTAGCGCGCAGTGCCTGGGAGCCAGGACAGGAGCTCTCTTCCCGTCCCACTTCACCCAAAATAATCACAGCACAATGTGTCCTAGCTTGCAGCTTCCAGGACTGTGGTTTGCAGGGTCGGCCGACGCGAGGCTCAACAGTGGAGACGCAGGGTGGGGGTGGACTTGCACCTCCTCTCCCAGGCTGTGTCCAGCTGCCCACTACCGACACACACCGCACACACACACGCACACACGGTCCAAAGTCTGGAAGTATCTCCTCTCATCCCATCTCGCCCCAGCAAGAAAATCTTTACAGGAAAAGTGGCCAGAATAAAAAATAAGTACAAATTGAAAATCCATAAACTGGTCATCTCCACACACCCAGACTTTTGAAAGATCAACCAGCCTTCCCTTTCGGAGAGCCGAGGGCCAGAGAGGGTTCGGACTTGGCCCAAGGACACACAGCACGCCACGGACAGGGCTAGACTCAAAACGCTCCCCGCACAGCCTGCCACCCTGGGCGAGAGCTCCCAGCACGTGGTCCTCCCGGTCACGGGACTGGCTACGAGGAAAGGGGGACCTTGGCCAGAGCCCCGGACGAGGGACAGGGCAGTCTGGCTCCTAAAGGAGAGCCCTTCCGCGGGCTGCGCAGGGGAGGACAGGGGACCCGGTGACAGCTGCCCACCCGAGCGCACTCAGGGACCAGTGGGGACACGCCGGCCCCACCCCCGGCAGGAAGCGGTGGCGCGGCCGGGACTGACCCCAGCGCACTTCCTCCAGGGCCGCGCGCTGCCCCGACGGCGGGAAGACGCTACGCGCCGTGGGGCAGGCGCAGGGCCGGGACCCGCCGCCGCGCGCTCCACCTCGCGGCCGCCCTGGAGAAGCTGCCCGGTCCGACCCCGCGCCCTCCGTCTGCACTTGCCGGGCTCCTCTCCGGAGAGGCGGCCGGGCGCAGGCAGAGCGCGATCCCAGCTGCCACTCCAGTCTCCTCTTTTTCCCTCTGCCCGTCTGGCACGGCATCATTAGCGCTGAAAGCTGTTAATGTCTGGTCTCACAGCTCCCCCTTTAGTCTTGCTGCGCTCCCTGTCTCGCGTTCCAAGCCAGATCAATACTGCCTCTCCGCCGACCTTGACCTCTCCCTCGACCCCGCCCTGCTTCGGCAGCTGGCTCCAGCGCTTGGTTCCCGCTCACCATGCAGCAGACAGCAGGGTGGGGACTGGCCGGACTGCAGCCGGGTCCCCATCCCTTTCTGGGGACCCCAGGTGGGCAGGTGTATCCAGAACACCCCTGAAAAAGAAAGCAATAGCTCCCCTTGATCTACCCACCTAGGAAGGCTTTGTTTAGAATAAAGGTCACTCGCCCCACACCCACAAAAATAAATAAGTAAAAGATGTGCAGGTGGCCGACTGAAGGGGGGAAAGTAGAAACGGGGACCTGAACTCATTTCATGAAACTGCAGGTGCAGAGTCATTATTCATGTCTCCTGCACGTGCTGTAGGCCTACTGTGTGCTCTGCCCTTGGCACAAACTGGAATCAGAAATAAATGCCAGAGGCGGGGGAGAGGGGGGAGAGAGAGGGAGAGAGAGAGAGAGAGAGACAGAGAGAGAGAGAGAGAGAGTATAAGAGAGAGAGAGAGAGAGAGAGAGAGAGAGAGAGAGAGAGAGACCTTTTAGAAGTTCCAAATATTTCCCTGTCATTTCTTCCTTAGCTTTACAGTGCATTTCGGTAACTAATCTCCCAGTGTCTGTCCCTTTAAGGATAGAGGAATCATCTTTATAGAGAAATGGTTCGGAAATTAAAATTCATTTTATCAAATCAAAGTGTGTTTTTATTAGCTCGGGCAGGGTTCTAATTCCCTGTAAGTGCTGTGTGTAACGAGCACACAGTGGGGTGGGTTGAGCAGACCCATGCCAGCTCCTGTCTGGCTTTTTGCTTACAATTTGCTGAAAATTCCCTGAAGGATTCTCAGTATTTGGGCTCAGGCAGGGCCCTCTTAAGAAGCTACACTGTGGTCTTTGCCTTCTGAGCTGTTATGTTGCATCTTATGTCTTTACAAAAAATTGGAAAGCATTCTGATAAGACGTGTCAGTGGAAATGGGAACTCCTTGTGTCTCTGCAGGAAGAAAACTGACATTTCACTTGTTTTTGTTGTTTTTCTTCTTAACGAGGATCCTCCCTCTGAAATGTAGTCAGAAACTTTGGAGCCGTCTAAAGACCCAACAACACAGTTTACCAAATTACTTTAGGTTTCGTTTCTGGTGTTTAAAAAAGAAAAAAAAATCTATGCAAAAAGAAGGCAAATCTTTTCATTTTCACAAGTGTAGGGCAAACTCAGAAGTAAACCGTGCCTGCTGGTGTCTCTTCCTCATGGTCTCTAAACATCATTGACTGTGAAGATGAGAATAATTCAATATACTCTCTGATCAGAAGAACCACACACTCTAATTTGCAAGGAACCACCAATGAGCATCCTAATCAAATCATATTTACCTACGTATTAATAAAGCTCCAAAGATAGCCTTTATGTCTTTCTTTGTGGTTTAGGATCTTTTTAAAAATTTTATTATTATTGTGTGTGCACAGGATGCATGTGTGCATACGCATATAAATATATATATATATAAATATATGTATATCGATAATAAATAAGTATAGAACACATCATATAAATATATATATATATATATAAATATATGTATATGGATGCAGGTGCCGTGTGACTAGTGTGGAGGTCAGATAACAAGTCTGTAGAGTCGGTTCTCTCCTTCCACCTTTATGTAGGCCCTGCAGATTCAACTTAGGTCCTCAGGCTTCCTTGGCAAGCCCCTGAACCTGCTGAGCCATCTCACCCACCCTGGTTTAGAATCTTCAAAGATCAAATCTAGACGAGTAAACGGGAAAGACCTTGCGAGTCTCCCTGAGTACCTTCTAAAATTATTGCATGTTATTTCTGAAAGTTCCGGTACATTTCTGGGTATCATAAGTATGCAGTGATGGCTTAGGCCTTTAAAGAGGGCTTAAGTCTCATCACCTAATGGCCAAACAGGGCCCCCAAACTTGCCCTTCACCAGTACTTTGGTTCTTTGCATATGCTGAATTTAAGATTCATGCTTTTGTTGAAATGAATCATTTGCACCTGATTTTATTTTCTACAAGTAATACTTAGGCTTCATACAGTAGTAGATTTTTCGACGATTATTTAACTACTCAAAGCATCACAAATAGGCCCTAGGGAAAACAAAGACATCATTGCCTGCTGTCTTTAAATCTGCAGCCTGCAAGAGGTTCAAACAAATTCGCTATTCCTAATTCATGTATTATTTTCCTTTAAATAAAAAAAACTTGCCCAACTCCCTGTATATGAAAAAGACTCACACCCACATTGAATGTTCCTAACTGTGCCCTTGTCATAAGAATGATATTGAATGGCTTGGTACGAGGGGATCTGGAACTATTTCTACAGCTTTCTCACCTCGTTTGGAATTTTCTTGCCTTGCTAATTTTAATTCTTTAGTTGAGTCATCAATTCAAATTTGGTAGGGACACCATCACCCAGTTGGTCGACTTGGGAGAGACACTGTTCATGACAATCAGAGGCCACCAAGCCACACCCTCAGCCCTCACATATGTACACAGGGGTCAGAGTGGCTAGAGCATGCATGTGTCTTTGTGGTGTGCAAAGGGTCTCTGTACTG